AGAATAGTTACAACTGTTTGATATCCTATAGTATGTTAATATTGATTGATAATCGTTATGTTTGACTGAGAAGGGAAGATGTGGGGATTGTACGGGTTTTGGCATGAGCTTGTTGGAACCAGTGGTTATACTGGAGTGATGCTCGTATTACGCAGCACTGAGCAGTTAGAACTCAGGCACCAGATTCTACAACTCTGATTAAATGGCTAACATATTGTTTAGTGATCAAAGAGGTAGTAAACTGTTTCTTCTGCCAAAACATTAACTATTTCCTGGGTCTATTTTCTCTTTTCAATAATCCCCTGTGCAATACTTAAGTCTTTGCTCTCCACAGCTTCAGGTACTTTAAAGAGCACCATCCTGGAGTCAGGATTGATTTGTCCCAAGGTTCTACTATCCTGCCTGAGCTCTGAAGGGTAAGCAACTGGTATTATATGAGTCTGTATGAGGAATGTATGTTCTAGAGCCAATGGCACTCGTGTCTAACAAACTGACTTTGAACACATTAACTGATCTCAACTGCTGGGTTAAAAATCACAGGGAAAATGTCTCTGAGGTACACAGGACCCAAACCATGAATGATCAAACCCAAAGTCTTGAACTAATCCCAGAAACTAAATGGGAATGAGTACATTTGGTGGAGTTTAATGTGTTTCCTGCTCAAGGGAAGGACAGATGTGTTCTGCACCAATAGGTCTTCAAGACTAATAAATAGTTTTGGATTAGATCTCCTGATACCTTTTCATGAGAATAGACCTTTGCTTAGGCTGGCAAACTCGCTCCTTTTTATCAGTAAAGACATGGAAATATCTGTAAATAAATGTAAAAGCACTAAATGAAACAAGAAAATGTTGAAGACACACATCAGGGAAAATACAGGTTACAATTAGAAATGATTAGAATGGAATAGTTTCCCTAATTAGAGGATTGAATACCAGTAATTGTATTGGATCATTTACAACAAAAATAGACAAATCATTAGTTAAAAAAAAAAAACATTCTGAAGATAATGATCCTGTTTTGTCAGGGGACCTAGTAGGTGAATTCTGGTATCTATACTTGAGCCCTCAGAAACTGTCTTTCCAGAATTACTTAATGTTATAAAATAAAACACTAAAAAGATTTTGGACTTTTGGGGCTTTCTGAAACTTGCAGTAGTTGATCTAAGAGCTGGAACTTTACTGCAATAGCTTTGCAAGTTCAACATGTAAACAGTGCTGTGAGGATTTGAGTTGTATCAATAAATGTGTGCAGTCTTGGTGTCAGGAGTTGGCACGACATCCATATGTGTCCATTATTTTGTATGATCAGGACAATAATGTTTCCTTAAAAAAGAAGAAGAAAAAAGAATTCACTGAAAAACGTACCCAGCACAGTCCAGATTTCTTTTTATTAGTGCTTTTTTACCTTATACAGCACCTAATTTAGCCCACAGACAAAAAGAAAATGTATCTTGAATATGCATCACAGGTTCCAAAAATGAAAAGAAATTGGATTTGGATAGCACTTACTCAATAGACAGATATGATACATGGTAAGAAGGTGCACTGTCTGCCCTGTGATAGATTAAACTACTTTGTAGGAAAATTACTGTGAGCCAGTCACCACCACCACCGTGGCTAAATCTTTAATAAAATTCTCTTCCATATTCAAGAGCGAGGTATGAAGTACACAATAAGCAGAGTGAAGTAGAGTGCCATTTATCAAACCACAGCTAGGTCTGTAATCTCCTGCTTTATCCTTTTCTAGTACTTTATTTGTCTTTATTGTTGCAAGGAGGCACATTTACTCAGGGCAGTGGGCATGCAGCCCCGATAAACCTTTTGTCTTAAACTCCACCTTTTAATTTTTTCCCCCCATGGTGATAGCAGTGCTGTCATTGTATTAGTGTAATTAGTTTGTTGAATTTTGGTGATCCACAACTCCTCCCCCATCACCCAATGCCACCTCTCTTATTCTTATACCATAGGAAGACACCAAAACCACCAACATAATGCAACAGGAATGCCCAAACCTGTGGAGAGGGACTGAATTCCATAATGCCTTTCAGTGAGCCCCTTGGCAAGATGGCATTATTAGACCATATTGAAACTGGCCCCTGGGTGGCACTACATGGCCAGAGCTGATACCAGAAAAAACATTTTCAGTTTAGAGGGGAAAATATAAGTATCCCAGTAATTTTATTCAAGTAATTTTCTTCTTAAAAATGATCATATTTCAGTGTTACATTAGCTGATATTTTCTAAATGCAATGATCATTTATAATAATGCTCAAACCGATTCCTAATATTGAATCAGATGCCAAAATATTCTGGACATCTTGAGCATGAAAATATTCCAATCACTTTTAGTCACATGCTGATATTAAGTACAGATGCAGTGGAAGGGTCCTGTGGGTAGGAAGTATGTGACTAGAAGTGCTTTGTGCTGCCTGAATATGCGTACTACCAGTCTGTGCTGCAGCCCTGGGGGTGATTTTTTTAGTACTATTATAACCCTTTTTATTGTTTGAATAGCAGTTTTATGACAAAACATTTATATTCAGCCTGCCTTTGTACTTGTCTGAAAGAGAGCAATCACTGAGAGTGATAAGGCAACAATGGTAATGATAACTGCATTTATGGAAGCTTACAGAATTTAAACGGGCATGTAAAAATAGACTTACTATAGTGCTCTACCTGAACTGGTTTGGGCATATTCCTTTTGTCAGACCTAGAGGTTGAGGTTTTTCTCTCTTTTTTTGTTTTCTCATGATTGCTGTTTCTGTGCGTCTTACATGTATGTACATCAGCTGTACCTTCCTACTGTCTAACAGAAGTGATGCTGTTATCAGATGGAGCACCATCATAATTTTGTCAAATTCAGCGTCTCCAAATGAGCTGTTGAACTTAACTGTAGATTCCTAAGACTTTGTGGTTATTTGTTCTTGAAGCAGAATGGCCTCTTTGTCTCTTGAGGCCCCACCTCTCATGAAAAATGGATAGTTCTTTCAGTCTCCCTTCAGGGAGGCAGGGGGAGGGAGAGAGAGAATACTGTATATCGTAACATAATCCAGTAGTGTTAGACTGGTCATTCTCTTCAGCAGCTGCAAAAATGGTTCAAATGTATCACAGAAGAATCAATTGTATATTTTTCCTCCTCTTCCTCTCATATGAATGTGTGTGTATGTTTCTTTAAAATTGGTCAGTTTTAGCGTAAGACAAAATAGCAACAATATGCTCAAGTGGTTTAGTGTCTTAGTATGACATCTGCCTTCCTGCCTGCCTATCTGTCCATGTGACTGTCCAAGTAGTTTCTGGGTCAGCATTACTAGCAGAATTTTGAGATTGCTCTGGAATTTCTCCTAAATCTGGTTGCTTCTCTGTTTCAGTATGGATGATCAGGAAAGAATTTGGTCACAGACTGGCATTAGATTTCTCCCAGGAGAATCACTGCTCTTCTGGTAGAAACTAGAAACATACAAGCATTCATTCAAATATGGGCCCTCCAGCAGAAAGATTTCCAGGTGTCTCCCTTGCAAGAACAACTCTCTTACAAGAATAAATGCTTGGCCATCCCATCCCCATCTAGTGCAGAAGGGGAGTAGCAAAGCACCCTGCCTTTTCTTCAGGCTGAGGATTCCAGGTTGTGGGGGAGGAGGAAACTGTGCTGACTGTTTTAGTTCTCTCCCAGATCTGTCTGGGAGGGGAGTGGAGCAGTTGCTCTTTGCCCCTATACTCTTAGACCCTGATCTGGGAAGTGAATGAGTAAGAGTTGCCCCCTGCTCCCTTTTTCTGCTCCAGTGATTGGAGCAGAGCAGAGGAGCAAACTGTCTTGCCCCCTGACCTGTACCCATACCAATGCCCATCTGGGGACAGGGTGGGGGCAGTGCCCAATGCTCCTTCGCTCTGCTCCCATTGCTATGAGAAATTTCCACTGATAGAACTGAATGCTTGTTCAATTCCTTTGTTGACATACACTTTGGTTAAAAAATGTTGGGACCAGATTCTATCAGTCTTACTCATTCAAGTCATGGCTTGCTCTGTGTGTAGTCTCACTGCAATCTGTGGGCCTTCTCTCAGAGGAAGGGATTGCTGACCATGAATTTAGAGCAACAGAACCTAACTTATGTTTCATATATTCTCTTAGTGTTTTAAAGAAATTTTGAAAGCAGACAATTTGATACCAGATCTCCAAGCTCTCTCTTATCAAAATCAAAGGCATGTGCACCTCCTAAGAGCAAGTGACTTGTTATTTTGAGGCATGCTTTAAAAATGGTATTGATCTTCAAAGCTGTTAATATTGACGCATTTCAGTTTCTTCCATAAGAGATTCCTTTATTGCATATCCCTAGTCTTTTTCCATATATACTTTTTACATTCATAATATGCCATATTTTTTCTGCCTTTGGAAGGAAATATTAAGAAAAAAGTGAAATCCTGAAATATAGAGGGAGTGACAAGAATACAAGTATGAAACTAGTATTAATAAAAGCAAGATATATACTTTACTAATGCAAGATCTCACTAACTATATTACTGAAATGCCTACTTAGAATTATATATGTATGCACATTACCTACTGGTTTCTATTTTTTCATGTTCCTGCCTATGCAATTTTAGCTTTAAATATATTTAAAATCATAATACAAATTCTTTTTTGCCAAAGAGAAATATAAATAATACAAACATTAACTTACTTTGCCTAAGCTCTTTTAGCATTTTACTGAAATATCAGATTCAAAGATACATCATTTTCTGCTAAATGTCTTTCTAATTCTTTTGCAGTGAATGATACCTTTTTCCCCAGGCCCTACTACTTAGTGGATATTATTGAACAAGTGTCTCTTACAGGTTCTGAAAAAGTGCAGCATTATGCAAAAGAATTTTTTTTAAATGTGCATGGACTATTTAGGAATATGCACAGTGAATATTAAACAAACACCTGAAGTTCCTGGTGCTATTGCCTAGAACCAGCACTTCATTATCTATTACGTGCAGTGACTTTGAATTTTTTATTAGGTACTGGTCTCAGCCTATAAGGCTTATGCATGATGGATGCAAGAGCGATTTCCAACAGAGAGAAGCTTATCACAGATCCACCTAAAAGGTAAGGCTACTTTTTTTAAATTTTAATTTGCATGACAGAACTATTGCTCACAGACTATGGGAGAAGAATGGTTTACATGTTGATTGAAACAGCATACTCTGTGTCTTACCAATGCAAGTAAGTCAAGCCACAGGGATGCTGGACTTTGATTAAGTCAATTTGCAATATATAACCCTGTGTAACAGATACACATTATACACTGAATGTTTCCTTCCTTTGTTTCATGTTACACATCTACTTTTTATATTTTTTTTTCATTTACTCAGTGCAAGTAGAGAAAGGTCTGGGCAAAATCTAGATTTTTTTGAGTCTTCCTTAAAATTTTGGCTGTTCAGATCCAGGATTCGGTTCAGATAATTTCTAAAAGTCATGTTGACTTTGCAGACCCAATGCATGCAATACATTTAAAAGACTGAATCAATGCTGTTAGCATTCGGCCTACTTGCCAACCAAGTCAGTGTTAACAAGTGTTAACAAGCTTTAGGAAAAACCAAGAAAAAGATTGGAGAAGTTGAGAGCTATTGGGGGAAGGAAGTAAATAAGGAAGGAAAAGGAGAAGGATAAAAAATATAGAAACAAAACAAGTGATAGTGAAGAGAGTGCCACAGTTACCTCCCACCAGTCATCCTCTATAGATGGACTGCTGATGACCTCCCCAACCAAAATGAACAAAACGTTTTAAGGCATTTTGTCAAGCCATCATGCACTGTATAAATAACATGCATTTGAAAGGAAGTTCATTCAAATCACTAGGTAAGAGGGAAATGGTGCCTTTTCTTGAACTCAGGAATGTGATAGGTAATATGCCTGGGGTACTTGCATTTTGTTACTGTCTGTGGCAACTCAGTAGGCACAAACAACTTAAATTTGTTGCATGATCAACCCCTTGAAAGCGCCCCATGAAGAGCACGGCTGCAGAGCACTCCAATCATGTGAAAAATTATCCTGCATTATATGAGGGTTCAAATGAAGGTGCTTCGAAGTGGAGCACCTTCATTAACTTCTGTTTGCTCTGGTGGGTGGGGTACTACAGCCCAGTCCAACCCCCAGCACTGTCTCAGGATTGGGTGGGGGCAGGGAAGAAGGCGGGGGGGTTGTAGATTGAAGCTCCCCTGAAGTGCCGGTGCAGGCTGGGGAAACCCCAGAACAGCAGATTGGGGAAGCTCCAGAATGGACCTCCCTCCCTCCCTCCCTCTCATCCTGAGACAGCATTGGAGTTGGGAGAGCGGGGGCAGAGCGAAGGAAAGAGGCTGCAACTGCAGCCAACCCTGCCTCTTTCTCACTGAATTAGCTCTAAATTGGAGCTTGATCTCCCACACTTCTGACCCAGCAGCTAATATCTGTTGAGTCGGAAGGGTTGGTCTAACTCGTGGTGCTTTCTCTGACGTGCCATGAGTTAAACTGGGGAACTGCCCTTCTGTCTGTGCCAAGTGCGACATTCTTAGGTGTTGGGCTGGTTATTACCAAATCCCTTCTGGCAAGGGCCTTTTAAAAAGGGGAATTAGGGGCGAGCAATTTCCAGCAGCTCATGATAGCTCTAAAGTGTTGCATTTTCCCTGTGCATTTGGGAACAGAGCGGTTAATGGCATTGTAGTATAGTCGCTGTTCCTTGGTGGGAGGTCTTGACAGTCACATATTTATTAGATAACCAGTTTGAGTGATACAGTGATTTGGATTCATAATATTTGAAGTATATAACTAAAAGAAAATTCTGTAAAGTGGTGACTGTGTGAAAAGAAATAGGCTTCAGAGAATGTAAAAAATGTGAAAGGAAGGAGATACAAGCTGGTTTTAGAAAAATTTGAAGAAATATGATTTTTAAAAGGTATTTACACATTTTAAGGAACATCAAAATTTGCTGCAGTAATACAATAAAAAGTTATCTGATTTTTTTCAGGCTCTTTAAAAAATTTGAATAAACCATTAAATTAAATTAAATTAAATTAGTAATTTCAGGGTGGAATTTTTTTCCAGGTAAAAGTAAAGCTTTATTTGAGGATTGGCTTCATGGAATTCTACGTTCCTGAAGAAGCTAAATATTTCTTCAGCAATTTGAGCTGACACTAGAGCTGGTTGGGAATTTTCTGCAAAAGTTACGTTAACTACGAAAATGCTGATTCATTGACATAAAATTGGTTCATGGGTCTAGCTTTCACAAAAGAAAAAAAATTGAAGTTGCTTAATTGAAAACTGTTGGCATTTCAAAGGAAAGGTTTTATTTTTTGGCTTCAAGTGACTTCTTATGTAAAAAATAATTTAGTTAAAGTACAAGGCTGAATATATTTATATATGTATATACTTGTACGCAAGTGCTACACCTTGGGAGGAATAATCAAATCACATATATAAAATGGGTGATACTTGGCTGGATGACAGCACTATGGAAAAGGACTCTGGAGTACTGATAGATTGCAGATGCAGTATGAGTCTGCAGTATGATGCAGCTGCATAAAAGGTGAATGCAGTTTTGGGATGCATCAATAGAAGCATTATGTTCAAGACATGGGAGGTAAAAGTCCCTCTCTACTTGGCATTGGTTAGGCCTCATCTTGAGTACTGTGTTCAGTTCTGGGCTCCACATTTTAAAAAGGACATGATTAGAGAGGGTTGAGAGGTGGGCAACAAAGTTGATAAAGGGCTTGGAAGGCAAGTCATATGAGGAGAGAATGAAGGAGTTAGGCATGCTCAGCTTGTGGAAAAGATGCATAAGAGGGGATATGATAGCAGTCTTTAAATACTTGAAGAGCTGCCATAAAGAAGAGGAAAAGCACCTTTTCTCTCGGTGCAGACAGGAGGATGCAGACCCCTAGCTTGAGGTTGCAAAAAAGTCTGTTCAGCATAACTCTAACCTGTCTGGCATGTGTCCTTTCATCACAGCAGAGAACAATGTGTATTTGTATGATGAACTAGTTTTACACTAGCAATATGAAATCTGTTTGAACTCATTTGCATATATGTGCCAGTTGGTATTCACATTTGAGGTGGTAAGTGCTGGGGCATTGTGTCCGTAATAGATTTTTCTCATAAAATGTAATGCATATCCTGTGGATATGTTTGTTCCCTCTATATTTCAATGATATTTTTATTACTTACAAAATAGTATGTACTGACTGAGGTACATAGATCAATAAAAAGCAGCAGCTGGTATTATGAAAGTAAACTACGCAACTCTCAATTAGGTATTTGAAATATAATTGAATTATTTTATGCTCTTTATACTAAGTAAGGATAATGATACTTTTAAAAACAGACCTGACTTCTGCTGTGGTTTATTCCTTCTGATGACATTATTTCTAGGGACGTACTGAATTCACAGCAGAAGTATAGTGCACGGCGGCTCCCTTAATATTGCATGTTCCCTCATACGTGCTTTGCCCTTTGCCCCACACCTTGCTTCTGATTTATGGAGGACTCTGCCACTCCTTTCTGATCAACAGAGAAGCTAAAACTGTGGTTTTGAACATGGCACCATTTTTGCCTCTCTCTCAGTCAGCACCAAACAGCAGGGCATCTGGGGCCCCTCAGGCAATCAGTGGTGGGAGGCAAAAATGGCACCATATTTAACACCGCAGTTTTCACCTCCCCATTGATCAGGAGTGAGCCGCAAGCAAGGTGCCTCCACCAGTGGGGGCGGGGGGCATGGGGGAACCTGCAAGATTAAAGGAGCCATGTAGGTCCCTAGTTATTTCTAATGGCATTCTTTCCTATTAGGCAAAAGTGTTCCAGTGGTAGATCCAAAGAGGACTGGCTGTTGAAATACTGAGGGTCTCCCAGCTTAGCTAAAAGACACTCCAAGTGGAATCTGTAGCTCTGAGTTAGGCACCTCAACTCCTTGTGCACTTCATAGAGAAGAATGATGAGATTCAGAATGGGATTCACAAGAGCAGGTCACTGGGCTGGGAGCTACCTAAGGCTGACAATAGGAAATACTGAAGAGGGGGTGGCTTGGGCCCTTCCAATTTCCTGGGTTTAGATGCCAAAATTTTAACTGCAGGGAGGTGCCTGCTTCTGTTTGGCATTCATAGCCCTGCGCCTTTTTCTTGAATTAGGTGTATAAGATGTTTAATTAAAAAATAGTATAAGGATCACTCATGTCCTTTAAAATATTGCTGGCATAGGGTTAGGTGCAGGTTTTGAGGGCTGCATTCTTGGAATCTATGTCCCACTTCAGATCCTTGAGTTCTTTTGCAGATCTGGCACTATGTGGATCCAGCCATTCTCTCTGTTTGAAATGATGTAAATGACCTCTTTGCTTAGCAAAAAGGGAATCTTGATTGTTTTAGCTATTGTAAGATCTATTGTGCAAGAAGGATCTAAGAGTGCTTGTATATTTTGTCTTTTTTGACTCAAGAGGGGAGGTGAGTTTGGAGTTTTGTAAGTATTCTTTCCTCCTCATTTGAACTGTTCTGCATCTACTGAAAAATCTTCATCGCTTACAGACTCATCCTAGTTTCAGGGGATTTGAAAGTGCCTTTTATTTTGCCCTGTTATAAGGTTGCAGTATTATTTTATCCAACAAACCATTTTACATAAAAAGAGACTACAGACTTTTTTTTTCCAGGGAAGGGCAGAACTGATTACACAGAGAAAAGGAAGAATGGGGACTTTTTACCACCTCCACTATTCTGTGCTAAATATTAGCAGGAAGATTTTCATCCAGAAAGATTTTTTTTTTTGCGCAACCTGTTGGTAAGGTAGACTTCCCTTATGAAAGAGCTCAGATACAAACTTACTCTATATCAATTTTTGTCAAATAATAGATCTGTCTCTTTCCAGGGTGAAGAAGCATATGTGAGCACTGAACAATGATAAGTTCTATGTTTTCAACACACTGTTAAAGAACAGAAGTGATTATGGAGAAAGTTATGGGTGAATATGTTGAATAGACTCGGAGTTTGAAGAAATGTAAACTGACCCTCGTGAGGATAATAAAATAAAGCAAAACAACAACAAAACCAGAATGAACTGCTGGTTGATTAAATGACTAAAACAATTAATTG